AGAAGAAGAAGAAGAAGAAGAAGAAGAAGAAGAAGAAGAAGAAGAAGAAGAAGAAGAAGAAGAAGAAGAAGAAGAAGAAGAAGAAGAAGAAGAAGGTATTAGGCCTTTTCTGTATTGTTCATTGTGGCAGTATCTTCATACATGGCTTGCAATGGAACATAATAATTCTGTCATCCCACCCACCGATGACACTGGGTATATACAGACTCAAGGACTATCTTAGTTAGGGTTTTATTGTTGGAAAGAGGCACCATGACCATGGCAGCTCTTAAAGGAAAACATTTCATTGGAACTGGCTTACAGTTCAGAGGTTTAGTCCATTATGGTCATGGCAGGAAGCATGATGGTGTATAGGCAGACATGGTGCTGGAGAGGTAGCTGAGAGTTCTAGATCCAGATCCACATGCACCATGAAAAGAGAGACACTGGAATTGGCTTAAGCTTCCGAAACCTCAAAGCCACCCCAATGACACACTTCCTCTAACAAGGCCACGCCTCCAATAAGAGTTGGGAGGGGGAGCACATTTTATTCAAACCACCATAAAGACCCTTCTAACAACCTGTTGGTTTCAATTTCTCTGAGACTGGACACTTGTTCCTGTTATAAATTATTAGGATTTTTTTTTCTTTTTAAATTTTTGCTGGGCACAGTAGCGCATACCTTTAATCCCAGCAGTAGGGAGGCAGAGGTAAGTGAATCTTTGAGTTCAAGGCCAGCTTGGTCTACAGAGTAAGTTCCAGGATAGCCAGGAATACACAGAGAAACCCTGTTTTACACACACACACACACACACACACACTTAGATTTACTTATCTTGTAAGTATTTTGACTACATGTATGTGTGTGTGCCATGTGCATGCCTGGGGTCCACAGAGGCTGAAATAGAGTGTCAGATCACCTGGAATGGGAGTTACACATGGTTGTGAACCATTATGTGGGTTCTGAGAACTGAACCCAGGATCCTCTGAAAGAGCAGTCAGTGTTCTTAACTGCTGAGCCAACTTTCCAGTCCCACAAACTTTTGGATTATTAAAAGAAAATCCAAATAGCATAACCATACTAGTTCTTTTGTTTGTTTGCTTGTTTTTCAATATAGGGTTTCTCTATGTAACAGCCCTGGCTGTCCTGGAACTCCTATGTAGACCAGGCTGGCCTCGAACATCTGCCCATCTCCAGTTAGTGCTTGGATTAAAGGCATGTGCCACCACCACCTGCCATGCCGATCATACTAGTTCTTATTAGAAGGTCAGGTCTCCCAATTCCTAGTTTTACAAGGACTCTTTCCAAAATTTGGCATATTTTAATAACACAATGTGGGGCTGGAGAGATAGCTCAGTGGCTAGGAGCAAGTACTGCTTTTCCAGAGGACCTGGGTTCGGGTTCCAGTGTTCCTGTTGGGTAGTTAACAACTGCCTCTAACTCCAGCTTCTGGGAAATGATGCCCTTTTCTGGCTGCACGGGCCACTACACATACAGATAATTTATTTTTTAATTTTAATCCCCTCCTTGTTTGTTTTAAACCAGGTCTCTCTATGTAGCCTTGGCTGGCCTAGGTTACAAAGCTATTTAGACCAGCCAGCCTCGAACTCAGAGATATCTACCCGCCTCTGCCTCTAGAGTGTTTTAAACCTTTATATATATTAATATATATATAATGTGATTTTGACTTTTGGACCAAAACATGAACAAATTTTAAACCACCTATAATCCCTAATGCAAAATAATTCAGCTCTTGGATGCCTGTTGTATTTTCTTACATTGAAGAGAGACCCTGCCCTGTACTTTTTGTTAATGTATCCTTCCCCAGTAGAGAGCAAATACTAAATCAGACACTAAATATTTATTCTTCAACCACCTCATTTTAAAGGACACAGCAAGGAATTCTGTTGAGCAAATGTGTGGTTATTTATGTAACCGTATTCCTTATTTAGGACTTTTACGCTCAGCACTGAGTGATCGTGGGGCGTGGAAGGACAGGTCTCAGAACCTGAAGTCAGAGCTTGTGACCTTGTGAAGTAGGGAGAAGCTTGGCCACTGGACTGGGTTTTTGAAACACGTGCATGCAGAAGAGAGGATCGGTAAGATCGATCGTGACGGGCAGAAAGCTAAGGGCCCTCACAGTACGATTTTGAGCTATGCAAGTCAGAGGGTGGAGGTTTTCCGCAAGCGAAGGATACCAAATGAGTGGACCAGAGACCCTTGGATCAGGGGCGAAACCCTGGACCCTCTGCGGCAGAGGCGCGCGACACAGGCCCTGGTGCGTCACTACTCAGCACCAACAGAGGGCGCCGTGTCCTCAGTAGTTTGTGGTGGGCGGTTCCCAGCTGCCGGCCAGATGTGAGTAGTCGGACTGCGGGAGGCGCGAAGCTTTACTGGAGCCCCTGCAGACTAACCCGCAGGGAAGAGTAGGAAGGAACGGCAGGGGACTGGGCGGTGGCCGAACGCTCCAATGCCTATCCTCTGCAGACTCCCTGGTTGCTTTCCTTCGCCGGACAGAAAAGGGGAACCCTCTTGCCCAAAGGGGGCGCCGTTTTGTGCCTTCCACAAAACACCAGTTACTTGCTGGCGGCTGCCCTGTGGTTGGTTCAGCAAGACCAAGCTGGGTCCATCGGTCAGGGCGTGGGGCCAGGAGAGACCCACGCGGCAGCCTGCGGTGGAAAAAAAGAATAGGCCTTAAGGGCCTTGAACTTTTTGAGTACACACAGCCTTGGACCCCAGACGTTGCAACACACACACACACACACACACACACACAAGGCTGCAGCCTGGAGCTCCAGATAAGGACTCTGGAGGTCAAGGACACCCCCAGGACCCCATCCTCTTCTTGATTTGCCTGCTGTTCCCAGCCCCAGCCTCTCCCCGGGTCTTCGAGGTAATCCTGCTGGGCAAAGCTGTAATTGACCGCGGACTGGGCCAGGCAGAGGCTGGGGTGGGTGGCACAGGGACGGGCGAGGGGCAGTGGCTAGCAGCATGAGCTTCATGCTACTGGACGTGAAGTGGCAGAGGCCTCTTAATTCCACAGGCCCGACATGGAAGAGTCAAAAGGGGTTTGGGTCAGTTATTGGAAGTCCTTTCCCTGGAAACGGAGGCCGGGAACCCCAAGAAGGGTGCAGTAGGAGGAGAGGGACACCTCAGAAGAACTGGAGTAGGGGAGAGAACAGATTCCAACCTCCCCCACCCCGCGCCCCAACCTCAGAAACCCTGGTTCGTCTTGTCCGAGACTCCTCCCTTGTTCTGACCATCCTCTGCTCCCCTTTCTGCCGCCCCCGTCACCCCCCTTCCCGTGTCCCCAGGGCGCTCCCACCCTGGGGAAGAATGTGCCCTCTTAGCTCACCCTTGCCATGGTAACGGCACACCCCCACCCCCGCGCACCACAGCAGCGGGGCCTGGCCCCGCTGGCGGCGAGAAGGGGGGGGGGGTTACCTCCCAGGCCCGCGCGGACACACCTCGGCTGCCCTGGTTGCCACAGCAACCGGGGGCGTTGCGAAGTGCGCAGTCGCGAAACAGCAAAGGGTTCTCTTCGGTACCCCTTTACTCTCCTAATTCACCAGCAAAGGACTCTGGACTGGATCCAGCGAGGGATCCTGGGGTGTCCCAGGTTCCGTCCTCAGTCACTCAGAAAGAAAAGGCAGTCCAGGGGTCCCAGAGAGCCTGGCACCTGGAAAGGGATCTCCCTGTCGCCAGCCTGTCCTCCTCCCCCCGCAGAACCCAAGGCGGGCGCTGGTAGCAGGAAGCTGAGGAAGGACCGGGAGGTACGCAGGCCCCACAGTGGAGCTGTGATTACAGGGACCTGTCCCTCCCGCCCCCGGCTCCCACTCTCATTAAGTCATTTTTTCCCCTGTTGGAAAGTCCCCGTGCCTTGAGCGCAAGGGATGGGGCGACCGCAGGCAGCTGCCGGCAACCACATGAGAAGGGGGTGGGGAGGGAGGAGGAGGGCTGAAACTGGGGTCTGGCCACTCTCCAGAGTGGAAGGCCCCCTGCCAGAGGCTAGCTGGGGGCTCACTAATTCAGAGAATGGAGAGAGAGGGAGCTCCTGAGTGACGGTCAGCCTTGACCTTGCTCCTCACCTAGGTACTCTGCAGCTGGCAAGTCCATCTTTGAATGCCCTTCCCCCGTTAGGTCCCCTTGGGCGACTGGAGAGCCAGATGCGTGGGTTCCCATCACACTCCAGCGGGCTGTTTCTCCCTGACCTGTAACCCCAGCACTGTGCCCACCAGTCCACCAGACTCGTTTGCTGTTAGTTCGCTACCTCCCTCTTTTGGGGACGGTAGACCCCACTAAGTTCTGCCCTCGCAGAAATAACCAAAATGTTCCTCGGGTCAAAAACAAGGAAGGTCTTTTCATCCTTGGAATGATCCCTGGTAACTTTCTGCTCACATTCCAAATTTCACCTCTGGTGATTTCCAAGTTCTCCAGGCCACCTTCACCCTAAGCTTGGGCTCCCTTCAGCTCATTTCCAATTATTTCCGATCAGCATCTCATTCCCACTGTACCTTCCAGCTAGTGTACATAAGTCCAGTATCTTCCCACCTCCATCACCTTTACACCTCCCCTTAAGGAGTCCCTTAGGGCACTCTGCTATTACAGGGCCCAGCCTTGGTCCCAGGACTCAGCTTCTGGTCCAGACCAGTGAGGCTGGGTGGTAACTTAGAAAATAACTTTGTCCCTTTCCCAACTTTACAGGTCGTACTAGCGTATATCAAACCACTGGCTCTGCCCCTGGAACTCTGTGTCCTGTTGTCCTCTGTCCCGTTCTGCCAGGCTCTCACTCCAGACAACACGTTCTGCAGTATGCTGCTTCCACTTGATTCCCAAACTCCATCCTATAATGCTCACTTCCAGTCTCCCTCCCCCAAGCTCTGAAAGGCAGAGGACAAGGTCAAGGCTAACGCTGCTGTAGTGGTTTCTGCTGGGCTTGGGACTATCCCTCCATCCTTCAATTTCCCCAGCACATCTCTCTTCCTCCCTAGGCTGGGAGGGGAAAGGGGGGAACCCAGCCCCTATAGTTCTCTCCAGGATGAACAAGAGGAAAGGAATGAGGCAGGTGTGTCTGTCTGCTCCTGCCTACTTACCCCTCCTCCCCCAGAGACACTCACCCACCCGCCTGTAGGGCTGGGTTTTTTTTGGGGGGGAATGGGTCGAGAAACCCTGTTCTCCACCGAGGCAGTACAACTGGGTGCTTGAGAGGTCCTGATGCCTTAGGCATGCCTGGGAGCTGCCGAAACAGAGCAGTTAGAGGACAGGCTGATGAGAACTATCTAGTGGGCTCACTCTTCCATCTGCAGGGCCAACAGAGGTGCATGTTCCAGAGTCACCCCCAAAAGGGATGAGGGCAAGGAAATATGGGAGGGGTCCTGTGCAAACTGGCCTTTGGAACAAGACTTTGTCTCTGCTTGGTTTGACAAGATGGATGCCATTAGATGATCATTGGAGGCATCCAGCAAGGTCACTAACTGTAGAACAGAGGGCCTGGATATGGTAAACTATGCTCTGCCTGCGATCCTTAGGGTCTGTTCTAGAAAATCATCAGACTTGAGCCAAAGTGAATACAAGCATGAACACAAATTCCAGCTCAACAGTGTCCTGGTGCAAGTATAAAATCAGGGAGGGGTTTTAACCTGCTAAGCGACACCTTGAGCTGTGGCTCTGGGGCAATGGGGTGGGAGTGGGGGGTTCAGGAAGGCTGCCTACCCACCCACCCCCAGCTTTCCTGCCTGGACTCCAGAGCCCAGCTCCAGACGGTGAGTCTGTCACCCTCCCCCACCACCCTATTCCCAGCCGCACCTCCTGGCCCCACCTGCTCCCTGGGGCACTAGGCTGGGTTGAGCTGGGTCTTGCCCAGGATTACTCTTCTCAGAGTGCCTCCTGTCTCTGCTGTCGGTTGCTGCTGGGCACAGCCACTCGTCCTGGCTTGTGGCAAAGGGCTCAGATACAAAGTGGGCGGTTCGAGTTCTGACGGAGGGCTCTGGATCCCGGGATCCCGTCCCCCTTCTGGACATCCCTACCTACCGCTGTCATCCAATCCAGGCTTCAGCTACGTACTAGTTGTAGTCCCCATAACCTGCTTTCTGGCTATCCTCTTGTCTCCATTTCAGCCAGATCCCCGAAGATGTGGGAATCAGAGTACAACTGCTTAAGACTGCTTGCTTATTCTCCCGCAGATTCTTCTTAAATGAAACCCAGTTCCTCCCCCGGCTGCCCCAACCTCCGATCTCTCCTACCAGCCCTTGGTTTCTACTCTCCAAACGCAGAGGCTGCTGCTCTGCTGTTCCTTCAACAGGTGGAGTCTCTCTCCCCTCAGAGCTTCGGGTTTCTGTAGCCTGTCTGGAAGGCCCTTCCCGGTCTATGTACGACACTTTCTCACTTTGCAGGTCTCGGCATGTATATCACAACGCAGAAGTCTCCCTGGCAGATAGTTTTAGCGGAAAGGGCCCCATTCCGCACAAATCAGCGTATACCCAGTGCCCTGGTTCATTTCCCCCATAACCCCATAGCACTGCCTGAAATAATCTTGTTTGTGTGTTTACTGGTTTATTGTCCACTTCCCTTAGTAAGCCTGTAAACTCCAGAAGGCTTCTCTTTCCCCAGAGAGTGCCACAAAGAGAGTGCAAAATAAATATCTGTTAAATGAATGATAGGGGCAGAAGCCTTCGCGGGAGAGTATCTGGGGGCCTTTGTAGAATCGCTTCAGCCTGATTATGCCTGTTTCTTCATTTTAGTTTTCTTCCGCCCAGTACCCATCAGCTTCAGTGCACTGCCCGCTGCTCCTGGGGAAGGGGAGAAAAGATGACAGGAGATAGGCCTGCCAGGCTGGGCTATTTTGGTGACATGTCCTAGGGTGTGGGGCAGTCTCCAGCATCACTCCCAGCTGTCCGAACAAAGAGCCTGAGCCGGAAGAGGGGAACTCACAAAGTGGGTGTCAGTCGGGTCTAGACTGTCTGCTGATTGCAGATCCTGAGAGCAGGAGGAGCCAACCACCTCTCTCAGGAGCCAAAGGATGCTGCTGCCTGGCCGAGATAGTCGCTAGCAGCAGAAGCCAGGCGCCAGGTGGCGAACCTTTCCTGAGACCCAGAGGAGCCCGGGGCCCGCTCACTTGCAGACGCTGACCCACTCGGTGATTCGGCATTCTTCGCAGACCACGAAGCAGCACCAGTGGAAACGGCAGTGGCAGCGCTCACTGCGCGTCTGGCGCAGGATGTTGTGGCCGCGGCCACAGCACATGCTGCCGCAGCCGTCCGGGCCCGAGCTGCTCTTGTTGCACAGGCGGCCCACGGTGCCCGCCGAGTCCAGGCGAGGCTCGCGCTCACAGAAGTCGGGCGATTTCTCGAAGTAGACCAGGTCGGAGTGGCTGGCCCTTCGGCGCAGCCCTGGAGTGCCGGGAGCTGGCGAGGGTGCCCCCGCGGGGCCGGGCTCCAGCTGGCCACCGTTGCGGTTGTGCGGCCGGATGAGCGTGGCGCGGTGGAAGCGGTTGCGCAGCAGCGCCCCCACGGCACGAAACTCGGGCGTCACCTGCCAGCACGTCTTGAGCTGACAGCTGCCTGAGGTGCCATGGCACTTGCACTTTCGCCGCATGTTCTCCATCACCGCCTGCAGAGGGAGGCACCGAGAGGGGGTGAGGCTGGCAGCTAGCGTCCCAGCCCTCCTCCGGCCACAGGCTGGAAACCGGCTCCCATTGTACAGAAGCAAATACTGAGGTCTGAATCTGGGCCTGAGAACTTGTTCAGGCTCTACTGCAGCCCTCCCACCCACCTCCCATCTGGCTAGGCCCTGGGGGGGAATTCCCTCCTTCGAGCTCCTTCCTTCCTCGACAGCCTTTCTAGCAACTGCAAGGGGGCCCTTTGGGCTTGGGGGTTCTTGCTTCCGGAGCCCCGGGGATCCTAAATCTTCAGGGAAATTCCCTCTCCCTGGAGCAAGGAGATGCCTGCTCACCTACATCCCAACCCCAAAGCCTTTGGCCTCCCTCCAGGTGGTGAGAAAGGCCCCCTTCCCCCGCCACCCAGCCTCCAGCTGTGCCCTGCAGCTCTTTGGGGGGGGGACCAGGTGTGGGGGAGAGGACAGGAGCTAAGGAGATATCCCCCTCCCGTTGTATCAGCTCGAGCTTACTCTGTTCATACTAAGTGACAACAGGTGCCAAAGCATTCCCTGAATGCAGAACAGAACCCAGACAGCCGAATTGTCAGCCCTGTGGGAGCAGACGAGTTCCCCTGGGGAAGCCTACTTGCCCTTGCCACTCACTCAGAGCTCAACGTCTTCTTCAATCTCCTCCCAAAGAACCCCTTAGTGTTACCCTCATAGACACCCCCCCTGGGAGCTGTCCTCCATGTTCACCACCACCATCACCCCACCCTACCCCACCCCCGCTTCAAATACTTCTAAGGAAAGCAAAGATCTGGGGTCTTCTTCGAAACTGCTCAAGGCCACAAGCAAGGGAGCCTTTTGCTCTGGGTATTGAAGGGCTCCACAGCCTACATGTGTAGCCTGTAGTACCGGCACCACGTGGGAACTGCCCCCCCTCCCCAGATTCCACACACCCCCCCCAAGCTTCCTTAGGCCAACAGCTCCAGAACATCTGCTTCCCACGGGCTGCAGCCATTAATTAACCACTTTAACAAGGACAAGGAGGAGGCCCTGTTGGTCTGGGTTGGGGTGGTATCAGGAGCTTGGGAAAAGGAGCCCCATGCACAGGGCATGGCTGGGTGGGAGCTGGATGGGACCTGAGGGTAAAACATGCCTCAGTTCACCCTCACCCTGAGCCAAGGTGGAAACTGCTGAATCAGCTGTAGAGAGGGCTGGTGCACCTGGAGTGGGCTAAGAGGCCAAGGGGGAAGGAGCGTGTAGTGAGAGGAAGCCAGGAACTGGGCTGAGCAGACGGGAAGGGTCAAGAGGAGATATGAGTTCCATTGACTGCGAATGGAGCCCACCTCTGCCACTTCCCCAGCTCCGGCAAGCTTCTCCATCATTCTGTGCCTTGGTTTCCAGATCTGAGCACATACTTATTAAGAGTGTTGACGTCATAGGTAAGCAGTAGGTAGGCTGATAGATAGCTCAGGACAAATGCCTAACGCATAGTGAGGTGTAATAAATTCAATCTATTGTCCTTTTCCTCCGTTCAGTGTTCATGTGTCTCTGTGTGTATTATTATTGGTGGTGTCGCTTTTACCCGAAGGAACTTTAAGGTAGTGTGAGCATTCCAGAAAAAGGAGAAAGAAGGTAGGAAGCTATAACAGAGGTCCTCAGTAGACAGGAATCCCCTGCTGGGAGACTGAACAGAAAGCTCAAGACTGGTGATCTCAGGCTCCTGGAGCCAAGAAACGTTTAGAGCTCCGGTACGTGATGGGTGATCTGGTTCAATGTTCTGGCTCTACAGGGGAGGGGATTGTGGCAGCCCAGGTCCTGAATGCCAGCCTACACCTTTCTCTGTTGGTCATCAGAGAAAATGGGAGGAGCAAGTTGTTGCGTACGGGGCTGTTTCAACTCTATTTCCCAGGTCCACTGCAATGCTCCGGCGCACAGTAGGAGGTCCCCACAGCATTTTTGCTGGCTGAATTAAGAAAGGGCTGTGAGGTTACTGAACTGGGAAGATAGGGTGATTTCTAGAAGGAGGAGCTACCCCGAGTGGATGCGGCGCCTGCTTAGCAGTGGAGCGGTGACCGTGAATCTCACCTGCCTGCCGACACGGTTGTTGTGGAGTCTCATGCGCGCGTGAATGTCTCTGTGAGGCTCCCGGGAGTCCAGAAAGTCCTTGGAGAAGCGTTCTCCGAAGCCCACATCCGGGCTGCAGCCACCCCACTCCCAGGAGTCCTGCAGGCCTGGGCTGGCAGGGGGCAGAGCAGGGTGTTCTGGGACCCCGTGGCTCAGGCCCTTACCGCGCTGCAGCGCGTCCAGCTGCAGGCGGTGCAGCTTCCGACGGAAGGCTTCTTCGTCCCCACGCCTGGAGGCGTCGCAACCGCAAGCCTGTAGTTTACCCAAGGCGCATGCGTTGGACACTGCGTGCACCACCCCGGCAGCTGCGATGGCGTAGGCGAAAGCACTCTCTCGAAAACCTGTGGCAAGGGGTTAGAGAGATGTCTCAGCGGCTAAGAGCACTGGCTGCTCTTCTAAAGGACCCGTGTTCAAATCCCAGCACCCACAGGCAGTTTGCAACTGTCTGAACTCCAGTCCTTCGGGGATCTGACACCTTCACACAGACATACATGCAAGCAAAATACCAATGCACATAAGATAAAAATAAATCATTGAGGGAAAAGAAAACCTGTGGCAAGACACTGGGAAAACATGGTAGGGACGGCTGGGGATATAGTTGGATGTAGATGGCTTCCTAGTATGCTGTGAGATTCAAAGGGAGTGTAGGGGGGATGAGTGGGGAAGGAATTACACGCCCTTCTCTTTTTCATTAACACCTCCTTAGCAAGCTTGGAATGTGTATGTCTAGATCTTTCCTCCAGGGCAGAAAGTGCCTGGCAAACACATTCTTTTTCAGATCAGGAACTTCATCTATTACCTTTCACGGTGATATCTGTAATTTAAAAATAGCCTGGAGAGAGAGGATGAAGTTTAACCCAAAGAGTACATTACAAGCGATGGAATTCCAGACCCCGGGAGATGCCAGTGGGCAACAGGCTAAGATCATCTACCCCAGACTGTGGGCTGCTGTGGGTTCACTTGAGGCTGAGCCTGGGACCCTCCCTCCCTGGTGGTTTTCATCCTGGTCCACAGAACATGGCTGAAAGAAGTGAGTACCCTCTCATATTCCAGCCAGCCTGCCTACTTTCTGTCTTTGGGTCTGCTGGTACCTTCTGAAGGAAGGGTGGTGCAGGTGAACCCAGTGTCCTAAGTGGCATCTGGCATGTAGCAGGCAGGGCTGCAAACTGAGTGGGAAGACAGATTCTGCTTCTCATTAGAGGCTTAGGAGGCAAAAGAACTCTCTCTGATTGAGACACTCGCAGGGCCCTGGGATGTGCTAACCTGGCCCAGTGCCTGTTTGTCCTGTTTTCCTCTTGGGTACCCCAGCCTGAGCCATCTCCTGAGAGGGCCCTGGACCTCTACCAGGAGAGGCTTACTCAAAGAGGTAGGTCCAGCTCTCGGACCTGCAGGCTACTTCTTGCTTAGTCTCCATTGAGAAAGTACTAGCTAGAATCAGCTTTTAGTACAAGCCTGTACCTAATCTCTGGACCCTGGAGGCAACAGGCAATGAGAGAAGCCAGAAGAACTGCCTTCACAAAGTGAGGAGTCCATCTGTGTCATAGACTCCTGTGGAAGAAACTCAGAATGTGTCAGGAGGGTGATGGCCTTGGAGGATACCAGAGGTTCAGAAGAAACAGGATCCTCCCACTCCAGCCTCAAAGACTGGGAGGATACGTTCTCAGAGAGACTTTACAGGCTCTAGAGAGCTACCTAGGACTAGATAGAACTCCTAGCTCATTCCTGCCCTACACCACAAAGCTATCTCCTCTTTTTGCCCAGACAAATGATAATAAAGATTTCATGGGTGTTTTTGCAGCTAAG